TATAAGCTGTAAAAATAAGGTTCTGTTAATCACAAGAAAAAATATCTCTTATTCCAAAGAATTTAACTGTCTAGATAAATTTCTCTACAAAAATTATATTATATTAGGCTTCGAAGATAATATTAAATCAAACCAAAAATCCTTTTGGAAATTTATACAATCGAAATGAACTTCTTCTATATTTCCATCGTCATTGACATATCTGGGTAAGAGATCAATATCACCCAACGAATCTGCTAACTTGTTTGCTAGCTTTTTAAAGCCAATTTCGCTGACGAAGATAGTTGGCATGATGATTCAATTAAAAAAAAATATTACTTCTTCTGTAGATTTCGGCTCGTTAGTCCTTAAAAAAGATGTCATTAATGGAATTCAAAATCTCAAGAGCTCCCATCAATGTGATGATCATCTCATGTCTTCCTTTTTCCTAAAAAAAATGTGCGTCGGCGATTGCTGAGCCTCTGTCGTATTTATTTAATTTATCTCTAAAAACAGCTACTTTTCTTGATGACTGGAAAATTACATTTATTTCTCCTATTCATAAAAGTGGTAGTAAAATTGAGGTATCCAATTACCGCCGTATCTCTAAGCTTACAAATGTCTCAAAGGTTTTTGAAAAAATTGTAATGGCCAAATTATCGTTCGCTGTAAAGCATTTTATCTGCCCGTTCAACAGTTACCAATCTTGCCGGTTTTTCAAACTACTGTATTTCTTCATTTTTGAATGGGCATCAAGTGGACTCAATTTACACTGACATCTCTAAAGCATTTGATAGTCTCCCATAGTGCTCTGTTAGCGAAGTTAAGGAAACTTGGCTTTCATTCAACTTTTTTATTATGGATTGAATCCTTCTTAAGAAATAGAGTCAACTATGTAGTTATTGATACTGTAAAGTCCTTTCCCTATATTGCAACCTCTTTTCTTTGTTATTTTCATAAATGGCGTGAGCCTCTGCTTAAGCGCTGCAAATATTTAATGTATGCAGAGGATTTAAATTTTTTGTTTAGAAATTTGTAGTCCAAATGATGTCCAAGTTCTTCAATCTGAATTAACCACATTTTCTGATTGGTGTATCAGAAATAAGTTAGCACTCAATATAAGTAAATGTTATGTTGTAACCTATTCTAAGGCTCGTAATACGTTTCCATCTACATATAGGATATCAAATACACTTTTATCGCGGATCGATAAAATTCACGATGGCTTTTACGTTTGTTGATCATTTTAACTACATTATTCCTAAAGCATTTGTTTCACTATCTTTTATTAAGAGAAATAGCTCCGAATTTATAGACCCGTACACTAGAATACTTTTGTATAGTTTTTAGGTAAGGTCCCAACTTGAGTATGGTTCAGTTAAGTTCCACTTTATGATGTTCATAATAGAAGGATTGAACGTGTTCAAAAAAAATTTTTGATATACTGCTTGTCACATCTAAAATTTGGTTTACCTCCCCCACCTAACATTTCAAGCTGTAAACTGGTTAATTTGCATACGCTTCATAGTAGCCGAACGATAGCAACGGTTACATTTCTCTACGACATTATTAATGGAAACATCGATTGTCCTCAACTGTTGGAATTGGTAAAATTTAATGTTCCTTTAAAAAAATTCGTAGGCATTACACATTTTCAGTTGATGCCTATAAGTCTATTGGTCCTGAATGGACCAATCACTAGATCATTAATTGAGTTTAATGCTTTGTATAATATTAATTCTTTAGATTTTTCATTTAGTCGCTCTGCTTTTAAGAACTTGTTATCTTCTTACTTATGTTAAGTACTTAATTTATATTTACTCATACAATTTTCTAAATGTATTAATGGCTAGTCAGTAAGAACGTACATATGTATTGTGTCATTTACTTAATAAAGAAATACGAAATACGAAAATGAAGGCAATTGGTGAATGCAAATATGTATCACGATATGGGTGTGAGACGAAAGAGGTTGTAGTTCGAAATATTCTTAACAGAGTTGAACCTGTTTACAAACTTTAATTCAATGCATACAATTCGTTAGAGAAATTTCTCCAATATGGATATAACTGAAAATGGTTTTGGAAAAAACTTTTTTTCTAAACTACACGTAGGAGGGTTGCCACCTAGTTTAAGAACTAAATTCCACTTAAGTTAAGGGAGTTAAAGCTTAAACAGACAGCAGCAGTTAATTCCCGAGTTGGTCCGGATCAATGCTGCCGTCTGTTTATGCTTTTAGATAATGTAGCGCAATATGGGTGTCAGACTAAAAAGGTTAAACAAGGTTTTACTTTGAAAATATTTTCAACACGGCTATCATACCTTCTGGTATGTCGGGCGGAATTTTGCCGGTTGCGGGTAGCATCTGGGGGTGTAGAGCGTGGCGGAACCGACAGCACCCGCAGGGGACCTATCGCCGTGTGTCTTCGGCGCGCCACGGCGGCGAGAAAGACTCGCTCGGACCTAAATTTTAGAACGCTACGGCGATCAGTGTGCTGGTCAAATTACTGATCAACATGCCCGAACGCTCGAGTGGTCTAAAAAGGTGGGCGGCGATGCGGAGTCTGCGACATCCGCACAGGGGAAGGCAGCCGATGGCGCGAATGCGACACTATCGACCTTGAAGCGGCAAAGGTCGCGGGAGGGGGAAACCTCTACCGGTAAAAAACATCGCACGGGGCCGACTCCTACGTTTAGCGAAATCGCTAATCTTGACGCGATCCGCCAATCCTTTGCTCCACCTTGAGCAAGGTGAGGCTGTCGTGGTTCTGATCCAGGAGCCGTGGCTGAGCAGTAGCGGTATCTCTGGAATCAAAACAAGGGACTACAAGCTGATAGCGGCGAACGGTGTAGGTAGAACTAGGGCCTGCATGCTTATCAGAGGTGAACTAAAATCTTTTATTTTGCATAATTTCAGCAATATGGATATGGTGACGATGAGGCTGGAACGAGAGGCGGAGAACTCTGGCTAATATCGGCATATATGCCGCAAGACGATGAGGTGGAGCCACCTCCAATGCTGCTGAGGAGCGCTCTAGCGCCGTATGTCTTCGGCGTATTCTCGCGTGCGTGGAGACTGCGCTGCTTTTTCTGATCTCCTGGATGACCGCCGCTTGGCGTGGGCGATTAATTCGTTCAAACCCTTCAAATCCCCAAGACCCGATGGCATCATACCTGCGCAGCTGCAACCCAGCAAACACAGATTCAAACGTTTGAGAAAAATCTATTTCTCGATTTGATATCAAATGTTTTTCTCAAATGATTCTCAAATTGAAAACGAGGTTTACATTCTACATTTAAAATTCATTTGAGATTGATTTGAAGAAACATGGCACCGTTATAATTATCGATACATTTTGCTAAGAATTGTTCATCTCTAAAATTAATGTCAAACGATATGAAAGTGCGCAGTTAAATAAAAATTGTAAGAATAAAATTAAATTCAATTGCTTAACAATATAACAATGAGTAGAAAATAAATTAAAAGAGAAAGCGCACAAATAGTGAATTTGATATTTGCGCGGGGTGAAGATAATCAGCCGGAACACGCAGCTATAGCCCATAAGACGAATTTATTAGTGCTCAAAACTAGGTGGCTTATTTTTCGTGTCTTGAAGACAGCAATGAAGGCAGCGAAACTGATAACTGTGACTCCGATAACTCTGGATCTAATTCTATATGCGGGCTCCACCGACAATTAAAAAATTATGTTCCAGGTCTTCCTTTATGTGCTAGGACGTTAAAAAATACTCCGAAAGAAACACAGAGAATAGCAATGGGCACGGGGCTGACGGATTTTCTACTACAAAATAATTTTACTACAAATAGTTTAAATTTAAACATTAATGTTGACGGGCTTCCTTTAACCAAAAGCTTGAATCATTCTGGCTATAATAGTTGTTAAAAGTGCACCCAAAGAGGTGAATCAAAATACCATAAGATTATTTTTTCAAAAGAAAATAATGCTGCAAGACCGATTCTGAATTTCGTGCGCGCACAGACAGAAGTCATCACGTTAATATGGATCAAACAGCTATAGAAAGACTACCAATTGATATAGTGACGTCATTCGGGCTGGACTATATGCATATAGTTCGTCTGGGAGTGACAAAGACTTTGTTACTCGCGTGGATGAAAAAGCGAAATAAGCTCTACTCTCTTCGACTTGAAAAAATTCAGTTACTGGACTCCAAACTTAGTTTTTTATATAATCAAATTCCAAATGACTTTGCCAGGCGACCTCGATCCTTAAATATGTTGAACGTTTTAAAGCTACAGAATTCAGAGCATTTTTGCTTTGCAGACATATTTATATTAAAAATGTTTTTGATCCAATTAGGTATACTAATTTTTTGTTTTTTGTTTAGGAATTAGAATTCTTCTAAGTCCGAAACACTACATTAAATATAATACCTGTGCAAATGTAATTTTAAACAAGTTTGTAGAAAATATGTCCGAGTGCTATGAAGAATGATTCTTGATTTTCAACTTCCACTGTTTGACACATTTGGCTTACATTTCGATTGTTTAGAAACTTTTAGTGCCTTTAAATTTGAGAATTATTTGTCGAAATTAAAACAAAAAATAAGAAAGCATGATCATGTTGCTGCACAGGTGTACAACCGATTAGTTGCAAATAGCTTAAACCGACAGAAGCATTCCACTTCAATAAATTAACTACAAAGAGGACGTTTTAGTAATGGAACTTTTTAAGGACATTCAATATTTTTTCCCACCAAGAGCCTGAAAACTTCTACATCGTTGAGAACAGAATATATAAGATAGTAACAATTCAGCGAAACCATAATATTAACTTTGAAGGGGTAGAAGTTTTGAATTTACAAAACTTTTTTAATACGCCCATACGATCTGGTAATCTTAATATCAAATGTTGTTATGTACTAGATTTTTCCACGACCAAAGTCCAACATTAATTAAAGGAGATATCCGAAAAAATTATTAAGTTCCAAAATGTTTAAGGCATTATTCATTTCTTCATTCCTTTTCTACACTCATCTTAGATTTAAAAAGTTCAACTTAAGTAATACAACAACATAATACATAGACATGAACATGGACTTAAATAGTATATATGATAACACGTCGGATAATATACCGATCACCAAGAGAGGTAGTGCCTGTTTTTTATAATAAAATTGTACCTTACATTAACTTTTTCTTTTCAGATCTCAAAAACTTGAAACAAAAAATGTTGATGAATTGACAAAAACAGAGAGAAAAATATTGTCTGGTATGTACGTAAGGGGTGATCCATCTAGACCTTTATTTTATTTTAAATAAAACACTTCAAACAGAACTGGATGTGTGACTCTTTATTATCACCCAAACGAGATGTTTTGTGAACTAGAGTAGCCTAACTAACATTTGGAAAGAACTCTAATAATATTATAATTGGCTCGTGTCTCTAAAACATGTCTAATCAATTTCTAATCCTTACCATATTAAGTAGTAAGCATTAGACATGGATTAGACAAGAATTACAGTCATGAGAGACTTAACCGTAGTAAGATTTTTGTTTTATTGTGTCGTTATTGTGGAGTACGATCGATATCTACAAGTATAAATATTGTATATCTCTGTAGAATTAAATCACAATTAAAAAACGGTGAAGAAGACTCCTACTCGCATTTTGGAAGAAACGAAAGTAAGAAGGCAGAACCATACAGAAAGGAAAGTGGCCACCAGTCTTCCAAAACAACCGTATACCAGTCTCGAAGAATTCAAAGCATTTGAAAAAGAAAACCAAGAACATCACTCCAAATTTAATAGCCTGATAATATTTTATTTTAATTGGTCTGATATAACTTGGAAATTAAGTAATCGATAATCCATTTTTTCAGATGGCTGACTTTTCATTAGTGTTTTCACAATCTGCGGAAAAGTTTGTAAAAGCTGCCAGGCGAAAAATATTATCTGATGGGGCCGCTCAGCATTTATCTTGGAAGGGCACAGAAACCAGAATGTCAGCTAGATCACTGAGTGTGACAACGGCTTTAAAAAGTATTTTCATTTGAAAATAAAAAATTCAAAAATTCATTTTCCTAATATTTTTCAGGCTCATTTTCGAGAAAATATCCACATAGTTCGGACAGCGAATTCGGACGAACTAGTATTTCCTTTTTCCAACATGCAAAAACTAGTTTTCTCAAGAAAAAAAATTACAAAACCAGGAAGACTGTGTAATATGTAAACAAATATTTATGTTTTAGTTGTATGAAATGCGTTTTTTTAGTTTTAAACGTTATTTAAGTTAACTTCTTTATTATGTTCTGAAGAATTTATTTTAAATGTTGAAAGACTGAGAAATAGCCTTAGCAATTCAGCAGCTGTATAACTATAGAAATTATTTTATCTTTCGTTTGACACTTATGTATGTACATCGTGAAGAAAACATAAATATAAAATATACATACATTCCACATAATAAATTTTATTTCCACAATTGAAGTACAATTGATAAATGACCTTTGAAATTGATTTGAGAATTAACCATATTCTAGAATGGAGATCAAACTCCCCTCTTTTTGTTGAGAAAGCTGTAATTTTCAAATCAATATCAAATCATTTTCAAACGTTTGACATTTGAGAAACGGCTTTAGGATTTTTTAGTTTTAAATGTTACTTTAGTTAACTGCCTTATTGTGTTATGAATAATTTATTTTAAATGTTAAAAAATTTTAAAATTTCGAAAAAATATACACATATTTCGTACAGCGAATTTGAACGAACTAGTATTTTCTTTTTCCAACATGCGAAAACTTTTTTTGTCAAGAAAAAAAATACAAAACAAGCAAGACTGTGTAATATGTAAACACTAGGGCTGGTCAACTTTTTTTCGACATCGTTCCTAGCAGATTCGGATTCTACATAAAATTGTAAGAAAAGCAGCCCTTTAGACCATAGCTCTAAAATCAATTTCGAGCCTGCGCAATTTTAAAAGAAAATATTTTTAATTAATACTAAGTCCATAATCAGATTAATATTTACTAAAGTTTTAGGAATGTTTTTTTTTTTTGTAATAAAAAGTTGTGCTCGGGAGTTTTGTGATACAAAAAATTAATTTCTGATATCTATTTTTTATTTAAAGAACCGCAAGATGGCGCTTCAAAGCAAATCTACTATATATTTGTGGAAGTATGTATGTATGTATGTACCAGGTTGCAGCCTGAACGGATGTAGAGAATCGAATAAAATTTTGCCAAAGTATGGCCATGACTCCTGGACCTATAATAGGGTAAAAAAATTTAAACTCCCCAAGGGGGGGGAGGGGGATGAGGGATACCTCCCATAGTGAAAATTTTGAATCAGCTCTAACTTCGGAGTTATAGTCACATGAACTCGAAATTTGAAATGCACAGATACATATGGTAGGTGCTTATGGAAAGATATATGTATATAAATGAGTTTGTAAAAAGGGGCGTGGCACATCTTATAGGTGTGGGATCTTTTATCAGCTATAACAGCAGGCAGTATTAGTGATATCATTGTATTGCATTTTGAAGATTTGTTATAATTGATCAAAGTTAAATTCAAATAAAATATGAAGTTCACCGGGTCATCTTCTAGTCTTTAATATATACTCAGTTAATATACGGATTAATATTTACTAAAGCGTTACGAACGTTATTTTTTTAATACAATAAGAAAAAAATAACTATAATTTAAAGGAGTTACACACAATGGCTAGAGTCGTCGCATGTGTGTATTCTTTCATATACATATATATGGGCCGTTCTCACGGTTTATATATTTTTCATCCACTCGCTTATTCCTTACCGAAAATTTTAAATAAAAATTTAACAAGTTTTAACCGCTTTAAACTCAGAACCAAAGTCCGGAAACTGTTCAATCGAGCAAAACGAACCGGGAAGTGGTCAGAATACAGAAACACCTTAACTCTGTAAAACAAAGAAATAAGGGAATCTAAGCGTTTAAGCTTTAGGAACTTCTGTGAAAGCATAGAAGATACTACATAGGCAACAAGACTCTATAAGGTAATGGCAAAAACGAACTGTATTACGTCCGCAAGTCTACGGAAGAGTGATGGGAGTTTCACTGGGAGCGAGGAGGAGAAGATCAAACTTCTCATAGATACTCACTTCCCAGGATCTACATCTTATTCCGAAACAGATCGGACTGAGCAGTGCAGTAAAATAAGCAGAGGAAACTGGTGGCTAAGCGGCTAAGGAAATATGCTCCGAGCCCCGGCTCAGGTGGGCGGTAAATACCTTCAAACCAATGAAGTCACCGGGAGCGGATGGAATTTTCCCTGGCATGCTACAGCAGGGCTTAGAATGCGTGATTGGACCGCTATTAAAAATAATTAGAAGCAGCATAGCATTGGGTTATATACCAGATGCGTGGAGAAGAGCGAAGGTTGTTTTCATCCCGAAGGTTGGAAAGAAGGACCCACTTCATCCAAAATCCTTCAGGCCGATCTGCCTGACCTCATTTGTACTAAAAGCTTTAGAAAAGGTAGTAGATAACTATGTAAGGACTACGGTCTTATTGAACTATCCGCTGAATACGCGCCAGCATGCATATATGGCGGGCCGCTCTACTGAAACCGCCCTATACGCGCTGACATGCGCACTTCAAGATAGCTTAGAAAATAAGGAGACTGCTATATGCGCTTTTCTGGACATCGAAGGGGCGTTTGACAACACCTGACATGCTGCAATAAACATTGCTTTGATTAGCAGGTGGGTAAACAATACCCTCGTAGCCTGGATTAATTACATGTTCCGCACCAGAAGGGTAGAAATACAAACCTGCACGAATAATACGGTTGTTGCCGGAACAACAAGGGGCTGTCCACAGGGTGGAGTGTTATCTCCACTACTATGGAATATAGTCGTCGACGGACTGCTCCAAGAGCTAACAGATACTGGACTAACCTGCCAGGGGTACGCCGACGACATTGTAATATTATGCAGGGGGAAATTCGAAAACACCCTGTGTGATAGAATCCAGCTAGGGCTGAACGTAACCAAAAAAATGGTGTGCCAAAGTGGGGCTGAATGTAAATCCAGCAAAAACCACTATAGTACCATTCTCAAGGAAGGCTAGATGGAACCAACATCATGTACCAAAAAGAGGTTAAATTCCTACGAGTAATACTAGACCAAAAACTACTCTGGAAAGCACACGTAGAAGAAACTGCGAAGAAAGCTGTAAGATCATTTATTACGTGTAGGTCCATGGCAGGAAAAAGTTGGGGCTGCACACCAAAGATACTGAGATGGATCTACACGACAATAGTACGACCCATGATAACCTATGGAGCCATCGTTTGGGCCGATAGAACTTCAAAACTTGGAGCAATCAAAGTGCTCTCCAAGATACAAAGGCTGGCATGCGTATGCATAACGGGAGCCATGAGAACCTGTCCAACCGCATCCTTGGAGGTTCTTTTAGATCTTACCCCTCTTCATATTTACATACAGACTCAGGCGAAAAGGGCTTTACTACGGATGACTGGTACCAATATCGGGGCAGCAGGGTGTCTTGGTCGTGGGAAGTTAGATATTCTTACGAATAAGTTCCCTGAGATTGCAATACCGAGGGATACCATGCATCCGAGGTTCAGATTTACAAAGAGGTTTAAGACTGAACTGAGTAATAAGACGTCCATAAACCTAGCTGACCCAAATCACCGAAAATCAATAAAAATTAGCTAGGAATTAGGTGTCTTTTAGGTGTTAATTAGGGCCTCCAAAATTAATTTAGGTGTTCCTTTGGTTTCCGAGAAATTCGCAAAAATGTGTGGGTCAGCTAGGTTTACGTAAACCTAGCTGACCCATCGTTAAATTTAGGTTTTAAATTTTCCAGATATATGCTGGAATTAGGTGTCTTTTAGGTGTTCTTCAACGCCACTAAAACTAATTTAGTAGCTCCATTGGTTTCCGAGAAATTCGCAAAAATGTGTTTTTCAGCTAGCTCAGCGCTGT